TAGCCGTTCATTATTGAAACCACTCTGATCTGGCTAGCGAAATCTAACAATTATTGATGCTGTTGTTCAGTAGTATTCATCAAGTTATGACAAAAGTCGACAGAACTTGCAAAGATACTAGTCAATGACTTAAAGCTAAACTTTTGACATTTAGGTCTTGAGATCTTGAACTGTATCCTACATACAATCAGGAGTGTGTAATATTGACTAATTTTAAAGTAAACTAAAATGAATTGTTCATTGCTTCTCTCATGCTGTGATCAATATACTTCTGGGAGGGAGGAGGGGAATTATTTATGCCATATACACAATAGATACTGAATTTTGATTTAAACTATTATTGTTCACTTGGTGGCTAGCAGTGGAATCCAGGACGCTCTCATGTCTCAGTGGCCTAGATTATAACTATTTAACGGCATTTGTATCAATGGGTATCGGATTCGAATCTCATTGAGAATGCCATTGCTTCAGTTGACAAGTCCTGGCTACGATGGAATACGCTTCCTGAACTACACTGTTACCTACCGTGTAAAGCATAACATAATAAATATTCGGGCTGTTTATAAGGTACTTGTATAGGCGTCCATGTGCCAACAGAGGTCGACCAACTAGATTTTGTATAAAAACAAGAGATTGCAAGTATCAATAAACTATATTATTATTATTACCGGCTGATGATTGAATTCAAGGTGAAAATCTGGACCATAGCGGGTTTCGAACCAGTTACCACTGGGTTTGCTGCCAGGCGCTCTACAAACTGAGCTACAAGACTAGGCTGATATCCAGATATTTCCATTACTTTAATCATCAAGGATTTCGCCCTGTTACCAAACCACAGCTATTACAGATAGTTAAACTAGAAAATAATTATTGTTTAAAAGATAACTTTGATTTAACGCTTAACTAGCAGACAGGTAAGCAATAGAAAGTAATCATAATGACTACAGAATTAACACATATCCATCATCTTGAAAAGTAGAACTGAATGTGGCGAGTGAGCGAGTGAGCGAGCGAACGAGAGAGCGAGAGAGATAATAAATAGTTTGTACAACCTATGGTAAACAACATTCTTATACTTAGTGTTATCAACAAAGGAATATATCACTGAAATTGGACATTGAAATGATGCAAACAAAAAGAACCAACCACATAACAGAAGGATGATGTTTTATGTCAGCAGTAATAATTCAAGTTGTCAATCTACATGAAATTATCTTTAAGACATTGATGACAGGTGAATGAATATATTGAACAGGATGATGATCTATGTATTTGGATGCAAAACACTTCTTTGATACGGGATTCATTTCGAGACAAGTTTTCTCGCTCAAATACATACTGATATTTATCAAAGAATAATAATCATAAGGATTTTGAATGAAAAATTCCATGTAGTTATATAACATGATGACAAGTTACATTCTGCTTTATTTACGAAATTGCTGACAGTAGTTGAAAAACTCATAACTTGGCGCGTCAACAAAAGCACTTCCAACAAACTACAGACATCATACATCAACAGCTGACACCTACGCTCACTCGATAGTGAAGATCAGATGACCAGAATAATAATGATAAGTAACAAGGAACTCTGACTATCAACGAACCAATCAAGAATCCATCACCCAACAAATATGCAGAATAAAGTAGAGATGGATTGGATTGGGCATACACTGAGAAAACCATTCGGGGACATCACGAGCCAGGCCAGGCCGTCCAGTGGAACCCGCATGGAAAATGATGAGTTGGGCGTCCCAGGTGAGGGTGACATGGAGGAGAGGAGATTATGTGAGGAAGAAATGAGAGGTTTTGGGTAGTGGTGGAGCTAGGTTGAAAAGATTGCAGAGAAGAGAGTGGAATGAAGACTTGCTACTGAGGCCCTATGTTCGACTAGGAACCCAAGGGAAAAATAATAAATAATGATAAGTTGAAAAGCCCGTAGAAGACAAAACTCATTTCATTCTAACGTGTTTGTTGATTCGTAACAGTATACATTTAAGCTGGACCTACGTTTTTTTAAAAATTGTAACATCAACATACCAATATGGAACTGCGATTGTTGTAAAGATACCCACCTCTAGCAGTTACTTTTACAAACAATTATATAGTAGTTTATCTGTTCAGGTGGCCAACAATTAAATTATTTGGTTAGTTAGTGAAGTAGAGACTGACAAAAGCAAAATTCATTCCATCATAGTGAATAGGATTAAAAGTGTTGGAAACTGAAAATTAGTCTTCCAAGTTTAAACAATACCAACGGCCGGAGTATTTGCATAACCTTCCGGTAAAACTGATTGTCACAAGCACCTACGCACTATCTGCCTTCTATTGGTTATTTTTACTATTTTGGTCACATGGAGGGTACTATGATGAGTATATCTGTATCATCTTCAATAGTAAGCAAGTAGGCAAGTAAGCAAGTAAGCAAGTAAGTAAGTAACTTATTATACTTATGTATACATGAAGCATTATTGTGGATCGATTGTTAAATACCTCTTACATTTAAAGCCTCAGTCGGTTTTGTGAAGATGAGTGGTCGAAACAAGTCTCTTCTCATTCGTTTCACTGAGAAACGGGAATCCTAACAGACAAGCACATTGAGATTATCGACAAGGTAAATGGAAATGCTGTGTAGCGGTTCAAGTTGTTACACCACATTGCAGCACATCGAGCGAGGATGCTCTATGAGAGAAGACAAAGAAATAAAAAGGAAATGGTGGGAGTTTATCAACAGAGAGCAAGGAGGAATGAGGTGCTGAGTTTCAGTACTACTACTACTACTACTACTACTACTACTACTACTACTACTACTACTACTACTACTACTACTACTACTACTACTACTACTACTACTACTACTACTACTACTACTACTACTACTACTACTACTACTACTACTACTACTACTACTCACACTACTACTACTCACACTACTACTACTAAGATGAAGATAATGTATGAATACATCTACGCCAGTGACACAAATCCCAAGCCATCTCACCTGGAGTCTCCAACCACTGGTTTCTCTTGTCCTACGGACCCCAACTGGTAGGTCTACATTTTTCTACATGACTCAGACAAGCAGTCAACAACTTTATGCACCGGTGCCATGCTCGAGTCCCTTTATTTCTAACCTTTTGCCAGGTTGAACCTATTTCAGCTAACATTATGAGATGGGGCAAACCCTCACTGGATATCCTTAACACATTTCATGGTTAGTCGATGAAGGAATTTTTCTACGGATAAGATCCTAATTCTACGAGTAAAAGGTCAGTCGTACGATTTACAGTGTTGAAAAGACCTACTACTTACAATAAACTTTGTTAACGATGAATTGAAATCCTATTCAAATTCGCTTACACGTCAGTAGGAGATTTCAGAGATATCGATAAATATTTATTATGAGTTATAGTACTGAATAAGCTTGGATTCGATGATGAAGTGGATACACCAAGTGGCCACGTTTTGATTGTGAATTAAGTTGAAATAGTTATGATTTGAGTCGTTACTTGATTTTACCCTAACGAAATGTATTTCACGAAATCAGTGTCCTACTCATCATCATCATCATCCAGTTACAATATTCTACTCTAACAATCACTTTTTTATAAACCCAATAATGGATAGAATATGAAGTCAGTTACATGCATTGATTGGTCACAGGAGTGCAATCAATTTCATGTTGTCTAGTTCTGAGTACAGACCGAATCCTATCGATCAAATTTGCAATGTGGTTACCAAGCTAAGAGGCTCAGCATCGCAGTGAACATTAGTAAATGTTAGTTTATTGATTTCACTTTCTTATTCATCATAATCTGATATCAATTGAAGAAACATTGTAAACCTGGAAGCACTTGACATCTGCTTTATCCTAGTATGAGACCGTTCAGCAGAGTATACACCCATGACCTTCAGATTCCGTTGCCAGTAATGTTACTCCAACCGTTGTAGCTTCTTAATGAATACCAATGTGAAATGTTATTTTTATTTTGTTACTGTGTAGATTGATAACTGTGATACATTTTATGAATTATTTTCTTAAAACAATTCATTCATTACTTAAATGTCCTCATGCATTACTTCTGTTGTCAATCATACATACTATTATGCATACACTGGAGTAAGAGCAATGTGTTACAATATCACCGATGAATGATTGACGAGTTAATTTCAATAAAGTGAAGTTTCTTTTTGCAGAAGGCTCATTAGTGCTCATCGGAATATATATATATATATATATATATATATATATATATATATATATATATATATATCACTTTGTATACCTAATCCCATCATTAAGAATATTATTACTAGGAGATTTTCATGAAAGTTCTATTGAACACACTATTGTTTGAAACATGGAAATCTTCCTTGCAACTATACTAGAAATCACTACAGTTGTTAAACAAATGAAATCGTATACATTCAAAAGAATTTTTTTCACATCTTGTTTGTTCAACTGCTGATGTAAACTAAACTTACACTGAAATGAATGAAATGTATTAATCAACCACTTGCAATAGGTAATGAGCTAAATTCACTGTGGTGGATAATGACACTACCTGCCTAATTGTACAGACTTCGATAGGTGGAGTAGTCTTTCAGTCTGTTAGTTACCAGCTTTTTGGCTTCACTCATCGTTTATTACTTACAATAGTGATAAAGAACATATTCAAAACGATCCATTTTAAAACAGATGCAAATTATGAGGGTAAAACTTACAGAATATCTGTGGACATCAATTGTCTGTATGTTGTTTTCTTTTTTTAGGGGGGGTGGGAGTTTGACGAAAGAAGGCATCAAACATCTTTCAGAGCTAGAAAGTATTACACAATCATTTTCCTGGTTATCTACAAATCATACATTGGACACATTACCTAATCACTAAGTTTATCAACGTTAGTGTACAACAAAAGTCTTCAACTTAAAAAAAAAATAGTTCCCTATAATTTATTAAAAGTATATATATATACGAATGATGGATAAATCTGACTTACTTCATTCTCATTTGGATGATGAACTTTTCTGTGTTCATCCATTATCAATTTTGATGTGGAACACGTTGAACATATTGAACATGTATACAATTGATAACTGTTCATTTGTTGGGAACATGGTAAATGTCTATCGAAACGATATCGTAAAATTGATTCGAAACTGCAATGTCGACAACGTAGTACATGGATTAAAGTTTTACTCTGATCACTAGTTACATCAAGATTAGTAATGCTACTGGAAGTAGTAGTAACTGTAGTGGTAGTAATAATTTCAGTAATTATTGATGGTTGTATCGTCGATGATCTGCAATGATTATTATGATTATTATTGTAACTGCTATCAATAAATTGAGGTTCACTTGAAGTACTGTCAGTTTGAGCTATTGTCACTGTTGTAGGAATAAGACGATTCGATGAATCGTGGATTAAACTATCCATGAGATGTTTATAAAAAGAAAGTCTTTTCTTATTAGGTTGGATAACTAGCGTTCTACACTTCTTTCTTGATCACAATAATTATACGGAAAACAACTATGATTCAACAATATATGTAAATAATTTTCAATTTATAATCTGTTCATGGGGTAGGAATATACGATTTGTGTTATCATTATGTTGTTATCACAGGAGAGCTATGGCAGAATAGAGACAGGATGAATGAACAATACATGAGCGAAAGCGAGAGAGATATTTCGATTTAAACGAGTAGAGAAGGGAATTATAGTAATATCCAATTTATGTATGTATATAAGGTCTTTGTATATATGTGCGTCTGTGTGAATATCGAATGGATTATAACGGATAATTCTTCCTTGAGATAATTATTTACCTGTCCGTCTCTTTTCTCTCCTAGATTCAGTAACCAGTTATCAAATATCATCCATATATGTCATACTTAAGTAATACACACACTAACACAATGCATATATGCATATCAAACATCTAGACACATATGTGCACAATTTTAACAAATATAACAGCTTATCTATATTGTGTTGACAGAAGCGATTATTTTATTGGTGGATCAGTTTATCGCGTTAACCAATTAGCAGTCAGATATGATGTGCAACGTGGTAGGTGCGATTATAGGATATTGTAGCTAACACTATAATTGATAGGGGTATTATGTGTGTTTGATTTGATATCATATTATCTTATTGAAATGAACGGTGGCAACAGTAATTTTACAACAATTACCATTACGATTATTGCAGTTAACAGATAGAAATATCTATCAAACAGTTATCATAGATTAAAGGGGTGGAAATGACCGGATAACAAGGCATATATCAAGATATTTTGATGTACGCAGTTCAGACAAAAGATAAACCACTGACAAACCACCTCAGTGGCCAGTGTCAACACATGACTAGAATAGCACAGGGATAACTGGTTTAACTGAAATGGTCAACAAGGCAAGCTGAAGTCTGTAAGAAAGAACAGAGACGACAAATATGTTAATAAGTATATATAAATTCGTAACAAAGGCTGAGCACGTTTTTTCATTGATTACTTTCAACTGTCCACCGTCACACATCAATAGATCAAAGATTCAAGATAATAAAGGTTGTTAGTTCGTGATGAGTGTGAAAATTTCTTAGCGTTCTCTGAGCTTTTACGTTTGATACCTAGAAGATGCCGGAAAATTGAGATAAAGCTAGAATACAACATAAATCATTGCTTAAAAAGTAACTCGCAATCTAGCACTGGTATTAGCTCATCCGAAATGATACCAACTACGAGAGTATTTCCCATAGTGAGTGATGACTTCAAAATGACGAAGAACTTGAGGCTCAATCAATGTGTGAATTAGAGGTTTCTGGATTGGTAGTTTGACTACTAAACTGATTATGACAAAAGTCTGGTGGCTGGAAACGAACGACAGGATCTGTGCTTCGTGCTTGTTTGCACCTACCGACGAAATGTCTCAGTTACCTCAACGAATTTGTTTCAGTTTCCGGTTCTCTATTTCCTACCGATTATCTTCAAGGAACGAATATCAACTGATGACCAGAAAACCTTCATGACTTGACGAAGGATAAATCGCATTGACCTAGATGTGATAATACTACCACACATCGTTATTGGCTTAACCTTTTTCGTCTTCAGGGTTGTATTCATAATGGACTGATATCAATTGGGGGAACAGTGAAACCTTGGGAACACGTAACAACTATTTCGTCCAGGTTGGGGACTTCTCAGCGGTATGCACCTTCATGAAGGGTCGAGCCCAGCTCTGATAAGGCTCACAATGAGCACGTTGCTATTCAAACACTGAGGTAAAATCTAACCATTTACATTATTCTACTTCTATTTATCTGTTTTAAGAAGTTCTCTGATTTTTAATGATACTGATTCCATTTCTTCGTCTTTCATCTTGATATGCTAATACGAAGTGTGACAAGTAAGAACTATTATACAGTAATTCAAGAGATGCGTCATCTTTATCACGACACAAGTTGCGTATTCACGTATCCTCTTGATTGTACAGATCAATGTGAATTATACAGGTGGACAAGCTTATTCACAGCTGGACAGAATTACTTAGCTTTCGAAGCAAAGTGAAACCTGATTTAAAGGTGTATTTTGTACTTAAATCGATAGAATATAAGTGTTATATCCTTGAGACACTCAGTCCAAGTTTTTCAAAGGTCAGATTTCTGTGAACTTTAATCATCTCACTCATAAATCTTAAGAAATAATGAACTGAATGAACAATTAAAATGACACCGTCCCCCTTGATGTTGATCACAGTCGAGCTTTGCTTCTTTAAGTCCCAAACAGCGATATGAGGTCAGCAACGTTTTTATTAGAAACTATCATGTCGAGATCAGAGTCAGCGAGACTCAGCCAGTTTGGACTATTTGGTGTCTGTGTAAGCTGAATTTTTGTGGGCTTATTACTGACGTGATAGGTCTCAAACGATGAAAACACTTACAGTCATTTTGGGGACTATTCGAAGAATCCAGGACGTGCTTTTCTTTCTACCCAAGATGTGTCAGCTGGATTTACCTGCACCCCACTGTATGATGTTGTTCCCGTTTAGATTCGAACCTAGTACGCATCGCTCCAAACACCAAAGCGCTAATCACTAGACCACTGGGGCACGAAAGTCATCTCTTGGGCTGCCGGTATCAACTGTTACTTCATACTCCTAATTCCCCGTTGCTGTATAGGATCGAAATGGTTGACCAGATAGGCTCCTACGTGAATGCCTCGATACTGCCAAATATAAAAAGTCACCAAGATGAATACAACACCATCAATACAGATCTTGTACAGCAACGGGAAATTATAAGTACCAAATAACAACTTATACTCATTGCAAAAGTAGTAGCTATTGCGTCTCAGTGGCCTAGTGGGTAACACTTTTTCGTTTCAAGTGATGGGTACTGGGTTTGAGTCTCAGTGAAAACAACATCACTGACTGGGGTGCAGGTATATCCAGATGACATGTCCTGAATAGGACTAAACACGCATCATAGATCCATTCCAAGTCACCAATATGAATATAACATCATGAATATCAGACAGTATCAAAGCACGCCCATACGAGCCTATCTGGCAACAGGGGTCGAGCAGTTCAACCCTTTATAACAAATATAAACACTTTCACTTTGTTTCAAACACTCTAATCTCACTAGTGAACTTTACTGTTCAGCACGAATAGCTTGAAACTACTCATAATGATTATTGGTACATTTTGTCAACATAATTCCATTGTCTGTGATGTACTTCTGTTCTTATATCAATGATATCACTGGCCTTGAGTAACAGGATCGATTGTTTAGTATTTAAATAACTTTATTCCGTCGCACAAGAACTGGCTATCGTGGCTCGATGGTGTAGTGGATAATGCTTTGGCGTTTGAAGCGATCGCTCCCGAATTCGAATCCCCGTGAGAACAACATCACTCACTGGGAGGTAAGTACATTCAGCTGAAAATTCATAAATAAGAAGAAATGCGCATTCTGGATTCCACTGCTAGCTACCATCCATCTTCAACATAACTAGAACACAGGTATATCGAGGCATCCGCACAGGAGCTCATATACCAATAAAGACTGATCAATTCGGTCGAATCAACGATGGTATAATACAAGCAATAGCATTAAATACCAGTAGGCTGAAATGTTTCATTGTCAGTTCGAATAAGTTGATCAATACAATTTTTTTTTCTCTTTACAAAACAATTTATCATTTTTCTTATGAAGTAAGCGCGTATCCTTCACTAATATCACTTATAAAGTACCCAAAAACGAGGCTGTAATTAATAATTCTATCCTGAGGCTACTAATGAAATGTTATGGATTCTGAACAAACGATGAGGCTGACCACCAAATCATAGGTTATTCCTGTTAGCTCAAAGATACAGTGTAAACTAATCATCCATATGATCAATTAAAACGGAAATGAGGAAGGATTCCCAAGATGTTTATCGTTCATTGGTCAAACCATATCACGAGTTAACTCAAGTTGAACAGTCTAGACTGCTAAAATCACTGAATGAATAAAATTTAACTTTTCGAATCGTGTTGCGACTACCTTCTCCATTTCGAGTTCATTTATCACGTTATTGAAAAAGAGGATCAATTTGTCAAGCCAAAAATCACTCAGATATCTGAAAAATAAAATATGAACTATTGGATCCCACTATATGTAGGTGAATATCTAGAAATTCTCAATAGGATTCTGTATATGCTCAACTTTCATATGCCTGAACACTCCTCAACGCCCACTATAAAAATTCATCGATTTTCTGTTATGGTGCCGAATAAGATTGCCACGATTTACGTAAAAAGCCCTTAATCTTTGAAGCCTGTTACAACCAATCGTTCTCCTCAGATGTTTAGGTAGATAGATAGTATTCAGATCTAGAAAAGCCTGGAAATAGTCAAGGCCATTGTTAAATACATATAAACTCTTGTATCATGTACATTTTTTGACGCTGCAATAAACTTTCTGTTATCTTACCGCCTTTTCCACTTATCGTGAAACTGAGAGACCAGCAAGAGTGGAATCTGAAGGTTGTTGTTCAGGGGTTCGCATATATATAACTTGGGTTATATCAAGTAGTCACTACAAGAATATAACAAGTGACAACAGGGGTTATAGAAGTGGCGATCGAGTTATGAAATTCTCCGTCGTTTTAAATGACCACTTGGATGAATTACTTTAGAAAATGTCCTCATGGCCTTAGAAAATGCTTGATTTAAACTAAAAATCTACATTCTTGTCGCCATAATATTAACGGTTAAACTGAACGGATTCTATCCTTCAGGATATAGGATCTAAGGTGGAAATGACACTTTTGGACAGAATCTAAGTGTGATATCTTATTACTATGGTTCCCTTTGTAAACTAGAATGTCTTCAGACCATAATCTATGATCTACTTAAGACTTGAAATAACGTTAAGGTTGGCGGTATTATACCTAT